TTTTACTAATTATAAATGATTAAAGGCATAGCGAAGCGAAGACTGATTATTTAGGCGCGAAAGCGATTGATATATCTCTGCTCCCAGTTTCCTCCCAGCACCAAGAACTTCCAGGAGGCCCAAGGCCAACTCAACCAGGCTGCAGCTGGCTTGAACCAGTCGGTCAATGAGTTGGTGCAGGCGTCGCGTGGGACCCCCCAGAACCTGGCCAAGGCGTCCGGCAAGTTTGGCCAGGACTTCAATGAATTCCTGCAGGCTGGGGTGGAGATGGCCGGCCAGTCCCAGGTAAGAGCTGCCTTGGCGGGGTGAGGAGGAGAAGAAGGAGCACCTCACCTCAAGGCACGTGGGAGGGGCTGCACGCACAGAGCCTCCTGGGGGGGGGGGGGGAGGCACAAGCGGGTCGTTTGAAGGGCAGAGCCCAGGCGGGGTGCAAAGTGAAGGCAGGAGCTGCTCCAGAGAGCGTCCAGGGCAGGTTCTTCGGGGGCTGGCAGGCAGATGCCATGGTGCCCATGGCCAAGGGAGCTGCCCCGTGGCTGGCAGCCCGGGTGAGGCCCCGGGGCTTTCAAAGCAGAGAACGCTTCAAGGGGGGGGGGGTTGTGACCAGAGATGAAACACTGCTCTCTTTTCTGCAAGGCCGTTCTGTGGGGGAGGGGAAGTCTTAGGCCCTTATTGGGGGAGTCTGCTTGGGGGAGTCTGGAGGTCCAGCACAGCCCAGGGGGGGCAGAGCAGGCCAGACCAGGGGAGCCTGGGGTGGGATGTGGCAGCGACAGCCAGACTCCTCCTTGTTCTTGGCATCCTGTGGAGGGCAGAGGGGCTACCTGGGGGAGGCTGGGTGAAGGCTCAGCTACACCTGGGCTCTGGGGACTAAGAGCTCAGGCTGGAGAGAAACCATTTGCTTGGCTGTGAGGTCCCAAGGCAAAAGGGGAAGCGGGGGGAGGGCAAGCTGGGCAGGGAGAGGGGGCCGCCCGTCATGGAATACCGATTGCAGCGAGGGGCTGGCTGGGTGTGGCTCGAGGGTCCGATGACTCCCTCTGTCTCCCTCCCTCCCCCCCTGCAGTCCAAGGAGGCCCAGGGCCAGCTGGTGTCCAACCTGAAGGGCATCTCGCTCTCCTCCAGCAAGTTGCTCCTGGCAGCCAAAGCTCTCTCCGCAGATCCTGCAGGGCCCAACCTGAAGAACCAGCTGGCAGCAGCTGCCCGGTAAGCGGCCCAATTGCGGTGGGGGGGGTGGAAAGTGGAGCCTCCTCGCCCCCTTTCAAAGTTTAATAGCATTTGTATGACGCCAAATCCCGTAGGACTCCGGGCGGCTAACAATATACAAATAATCAGAAAGAATAGAAGGAAAGAAAAGATAGATTTAAAAAACACACCATGCACTCCATTCCAAATGGGGCTGGACCGTATTTTGGGGTCAACAGCCCCAGGCCTGCCGGAACAGCCAGGTTTTAGTGGCCTTACGGAAGGCCGAGAGAGTGGGAAGGGTCCGGATCTCTGCGGGGAGATCAGGGCTGGGGCAGCTACAGAGAAAGACCTCCCCCGAGTAGTCGCCAACCGGCATTGCCCGGTCGACGGTACCCGAAGGAGGCCCAATCTGTGAGAACTGCCGGGGCCTCTCTTGGACAAGGAGTGGAGGGGGGGCTTCGGAGAAGAGCCGTGCGGCCCGTGGGTGCCCAGGGCGGAGGGCAGGGCAGGCTTAATGGCAGCCTTTCTTCTCCCTCCGACCTGACAGCGCTGTGACGGACAGCATCAACCAGCTGATCACCATGTGCACCCAGCAGGCCCCGGGCCAGAAGGAGTGTGACAATGCTCTGCGGGAGCTGGAGGTGAGCCAGCCCCGCCTGGAGGAGGGCAGGTGCCGTGGGGCTGACGGGGGGGGGCAGGCAGGGTGGTCTGCCTGAGGCTCAGCTGACGGCTTCTCCTCTCCAGACGGTGCGGGAACTTCTGGAGAACCCCACCCAAGCCGTCAGCGACATGTCGTACTTCAACTGCCTGGACAGCGTCATGGAGAACTCCAAGGTGAGCGGGGCTGGGGGGTTAGGGTCTGAGCCAGCGCTTAGAACCTTTGTTGGGAGAGACTCTTGAGGCCTTCAAGCCCCCCCAAAGCTCAGAGTAGGTGGCCAGACAGAAGGACGTCCAGCTTCTGCTCCAAGACCCTCTGCTGATTCCCTGTAGGGGCGAAGAGCCTCTCCATCCCCTCCCTGGGTCATCTCTGCAACCGCTTCTCCCTCCCCCCTTTGAAACCGCTCCCTCCGAAGAGCCTGGGAAGCTGCTCCTTGCCCCACGCACCCACCCACTGCTTCCCTGCCTTCTGTCTCCTGCAGGTGCTGGGCGAGGCCATGGCGGGCATCTCACAGAATGCCAAGAACAGCAAGATGCCAGAGTTTGGGGAGTCCGTCAGCACCGCCTCCAAGGCCCTCTGTGGCTTCACGGAAGCAGCGGCCCAGGTGGGAGCCGGGGGGCTCCTCGTGAGGCTGGTGTGGGGGCGCACGATGCTCCCAACTGTGGAGCAGAGGCGTTGTGGGGTATGTGGGGTGGGTGTGTTTGTCTTCCCTGCTCTCAAGATCCTTCCCCCATCCATGCTCTGTTACAGGCAGCGTATTTGGTGGGCGTTTCTGACCCCAACAGCCAGGCCGGTCAGCAAGGCCTGGTGGACCCCACCCAGTTTGCCAGAGCCAACCAAGCCATCCAGATGGCCTGCCAGAACCTCATTGACCCAGCCTGCACACAGTCACAGGTAACGGCCACCTGTGGCCAGGAGGGAAGATGGGTGTTTCCAAGGCAGTTGGAACAATTCATCAGGGGAACGGCTTCCCTCCAGATGTTGTGGGAGCTCCAACACTGGAGGTTTTCAAGAAGAGACTGGATAACTTACTTGTCCAGAATGGTAGAGGACCTTCAGGGTCCCTTCCAGCTCTGTTATTCTGTTGCGTATTGGGGAGGGTGGGGGCTTGAGCCAGGCAGTGGTGAATCCAGCCCCACAGCCAGTGGGGCTCCTCACACGGAGGCCGGGGAGGAGGGTGGTGTTTCCTTGAGCCTCCTTAGGGCTAAGGAGCTAAGGCAGAGGGGCCTCCTTGCCCTCCGCAGGTCTTGTCGGCTGCTACCATCGTGGCCAAGCACACCTCCGCCCTTTGCAATACCTGCCGACTGGCCTCCTCCCGCACCGCCAATCCAGTGGCCAAGCGCCAGTTTGTCCAGTCTGCCAAGGAGGTCGCCAACAGCACAGCCAACCTGGTCAAGACCATCAAGGTACCCGCAGATTCCCGGCAGAGAGAAAGGGGAGCCCTGCGCTTGGGGGCCATGGAACGCAGAGGCCCCCCGCCCCCAGGGAGAAGGCTCAGGGTCAATAGGGGGCTGTGTCTGGCTGGCTCGAACTGAGCAGCTGTGTTTGCGCTGTATGCTTAGACGGTTCTCCGGGCCAGAGGACGGCGGTTTAGGGTCTTTGCAAAGTCATCCTGCAGAGGATGGGGGAGAGTTTCTGGCCAGGGGAGGGTGGGGGTGACCTTGTCACTGCGGGCTGACCCTCCTCCAGTTTGGTTGTGTGGGTGCCTCTCAACTTAGTGTGGGCCGGGAGCCGAGGTGGCGCAGTGGTTAGGGTGCAGTACTGCAGGCCACTTCAGGTGACTGCTATCTGCAGTTCAACGGTTCAAATCTCACCGGCTCAAGGTTGACTCAGCCTTCCATCCTTCCGAGGTGGGTGAAATGAGGACCCNACGCGCTTTAATCGGGCGCGCTTTAGTGGACCGCGGTTTTGTCGTGCCACGGTCCTGTCCTCCCCCGGCCAGCCTGAGAGGTCAGGGGCTCCTTGTGCCTTACAGCTGCCCCCACTTCCCCTTGGGAGGCCCCAGCCCAGCTAGGTTTCCCTTTCTTGGGATGGGGGCCCTCGTTCATCTCCAGGCTCTGGAAGCAGGAAGACGGCTGGGCAGGGCGGGGATGACTCCCATGCCCCTCTCCCCTCCCCGCAGGGATTGCAGCGCGGGATGCGGCGCAGGCGCTGCGCTCCCTCAGCCAGGCTGCGCGGGGGGTGGCCGCCAGCACGCAGGACCCTCAGGCCCAGGCAGCCACCCTGGACTGCGCCGCAGACGTCATGGACAAAGCCAGCAGCCTCATCCGGGAGGCCCGCAAGGCAGTTTCCAAGCCCGGGGATGCCGAGAGCCAGCAGCGCCTGGCCCAGGTGAGCCCAGGGCCCTGGCTGGGCCTGGCAGTGCCAGAGGCAGCAGCTGCTAGGGGTGGGGGGTGGGAGCTGCCTGGGAGGGGCAGGCTAAACGCTCCGTCTCTCTCCTGTGCAGGTGGCCAAGGCCGTCTCCCAAGCCCTGAACCGTTGTGTCAACTGCCTGCCTGGTCAGCGGGACGTCGATGCTGCCATCCGCACCGTTGGCGAGGCTAGCAAGAGGCTGCTGGCCGATTCTGTGAGTGGGGGGGGGCGCTTTAGGTCCGGTGGGTGGGGGAGCCTGGGCCAAGGCCGAGCCCAGGCCGGCCCCATGTGTGCAGGCCAGCTGTCGAGCTGTGCAGAGAGCCGCTGCCCGGCCCAAGCTCATCCCCGGGAGGGACCCAGATTGGAACATGCCCTCCCACCCACCCACAGGCTCCACAGTGCCTCAGTCCTCGAGATCTGCGGGTGGCTGCTGGGTGTTTGGGGAGTTGAAGACGTGGGGAGATTAACCAGCAAGCCCCCAGGATGTGGATTTGCGGAACTGGGCCGTGGGCCGGGCAGCGGAAGGGGCCACCGTGCCAGTCCTCAGGCATGGTGTCCCCTGGACGGAGGGAGGGGCTGCAGGTGTCCGTGTGGAGCGGAGCAGATCCTGTGACCTGGTCCTTAAGGGAAACCGCCTGGGCTGCGGCCAATTCCTGGTTTGTCAGGAGTTGAGAGCAGCCCTCAGGCCTCTGAGTTTGACACCCTGTGTCAGAACCTCTCCATTAGATAATTAGGAAAGAANGGGTGGTCCTGGCTCAGCGGAATGGCCTTTCTGTCCGGCTGCTCCTGAGCGCGGCAGCAGGAGGGATGGGGCTGGAGGGGGCAGTGGGAAGAGTCCAGGAGCAGGAAGACCCTCTGCAGTCGCCTCTGGGGGGGGGGCAGCAACCCCAGCCGGAAGCCCCTCCCCCCTCCAGTGACTGCCTTGGCTTTGGGGTTGCAGGATTTCGGGGACTATCAGGACGGCTATTACTCAGTACAGACCACCGAAGGGGAGCAGATTGCCCAGCTCATCGCTGGCTACATCGACATCATCTTGAAGAAGGTGGGTCGGGGCAGAAGTTTGGCTCCTGAGCTGGGTCAAGGGGCGCCCTGAGCCACAGCCTCCCTCCCTTCACCTGGGCTGGCTGGGGGTGAGGGGGTGGGGGAGGGCAGGGATGACGGCTGCCTCTGCCTTGCAGAAAAAGAGCAAAGACCACTTTGGCTTGGAGGGAGACGAGGAATCCACCATGCTGGAGGACTCCGTGTCCCCCAAGAAGTAAGACCGGCGTTTCGTGGGGCGGGAGGGGAAGTCTGTCTCCGTGGGGGGTGGGGGGGCAGTGGGGGCTGCGCTTCACCCCCCTGCTTGCCTCCTAGGTCGACCCTCCTGCAGCAGCAGTTCAACCAGCTGAACAAAGCCGAGCACAGCTCCGTGGCCCTCCCGGTCATCATACGGCCGGGGGCCAGTGGGCCGGAGAACTTCCAAATGGGCACCATGCCCCAGGCCCAGCAGCAGGTCACCAGTGGGCAGATGCATCGGGGCCACATGCCCCCTCTGGTAAGGGTCCCAGGCTGGGCTCTGGACCTCCTAGACCGCCTCAACGCCAGCCGCTGCATCCCCCCGGGGTCCCTGCTGCTGCGGTGCGAGTCTTGGGGCTCCCGCTGCCCTCCAGGGCTTGGTGCTCCTTCCTGAAGCCACCTCCGATTGTTGGGAAACAGGGAGGCAGCCCCACATTCGCCCCGCTCACCAGCCTCCCTGCTGCTGCTCCTGTTGGGTGGGGGGTTACGTGTGTGGGGGGGGAATTGGCTCACCTGTCTTTCTTCTGCCCTGCAGACGTCGGCTCAGCAGGCCCTGACGGGGACCCTCAACTCCAGCCTGCAGGCTGTGAAAGCTGCCCAATCCAGCCTGGATGACTTCGAGACCCTCCCGCCCCTGGGCCAAGACGCGGTGAGAGGGGCTGGCATGGGATGCTTTAGCCCGCCTGAGAGGCCCAGGAAGCCGGGGGTGGGGGGGGCTGGGTGTTCCGGAGCCCCCGGATGACCGCTGCTTCTCCATCCGTAGGCCTCCAAGGCCTGGCGGAAGAACAAGATGGACGAGTCGAAGCACGAAATCCACTCCCAAGTCGATGCCATCACCGCAGGGACGGCTTCAGTGGTCAACCTGACCGCCGGGGACCCGGCAGAGACAGACTACACGGCCGTGGGCTGCGCCGTCACCACCATCTCCTCCAACCTGACCGAAATGTCCAAGGGGGTGAAGCTGCTGGCGGCACTAATGGAGGACGAGGGCGGCAACGGGCGGCAACTCCTGCAGGCTGCTAAAAATCTAGCCGGGGCCGTCTCCGAACTGTTGAAGACAGCCCAGCCGTCCACCGCGGAGGTTAGCGGCAGAGGGAGGGGCCGGAACCTGCTCCAAAGAGGGGGGGGGGAGCTGGCTTGGGATGCTGGACCTAGGAGAGCCAGGGTGGGGTTGGAGCCCGTGGGAGGGAGAGGGCGCTGCAGATTCCCATCCCCCTTGGCAGTGGAATCTATCTGGGGGCCTTTGCACCCCAACCCCACCTCACAGGGTTGTTGTGCAGTAAATGGGGGTGGAGGGAACGCTGTGGCTGCTGCTTTGAAAGGAAAGGAGCAGGTGCTTGATTCCACGGGTGCCCTTGTGCTTCTGGGCCTGCTGGGACAAGCAGCAGGGCCCGGGGGGGTGGGAGGGGTGGGAGGGGGACGGACATTGCCCACCTTGAGCGCTAGAGTCAGTTTCCTGATAGCAGCACTGGCCCAGGGGCTCCGGGTGCCCCGACTCCTGCGGCAGCTGCTTCCCTAATCCTGGGGGAGAGGGTGACTCTTGCCATCGACAGTCCGGAGGGTGCAGAGTGGCAGCCCGCCCGTCTCGGGGCACTGGACCGAGGAGAGCCAGGCCTTGACGTGCGCCCTGCTTTCTCCCTTCCAGCCACGGCAGAATCTGTTGCAGGCAGCCGGTGCAGTGGGACAGACCAGCGGAGAATTGCTGCAGGAGATTGGGGAGAGTGACACGGATCCCCATTTCCAGGTGAGGGGTCTGCCGAGAACCCCCACGTGAATTGGACCAGCTCGGGGGGGGATGAATGATGCCCGGGGGGGCTGCAGAGAAGCCTCTGGGGGGGGAGAGATGGGGGGAAAGGCCGAGGGGCAACAGCGGGCCCTTCTGATACCCAAAGGAGGCCGAGACTACCAGGCCGTGCGCTCCCAGACTAGAGAATTTGCTCCACCCCAGCAAGGACTCCTCCCTGAGAGTCGGCGGTCTGTTGGCGGTGCAGAACCCGAGGGAGCTTGCCTGGCCGGGAGGCTCCGAAATGGAGGTCCCTGCCTTGAGTTCGGGGGTTGGGTGGGGTGGGGATTCAGTGAGGCCTGATGGCCTGGAAAGTGACTCCACAACGGGCAGCCGAGGTTCGTGGGCTTGGCCGTGATCTCTCTCTCAGCTTGCGGATGTTCACATACAGATTGTGGAGAGCCGGCACCTCCGGACCCTGTGCGCCCCTGACGCCAAGACGGTAAAAGGGCCCGAGCTGGTCTGTGGCTGTGCTCCTGGCACAGCCCCGGCTCTTGCCACCCCGTCCCCCAATCGGTGTGCTTGCCTGAGGTGGTCCCTGCAAAGCTTTCTCTCTGCCGGGCTCTTCAAAGCGGCTCTCTGGCTGGGCTCTGTCCGCTGCCAATCCCCACCGTCTAATTTAAAAGCCCCTCGGAAAGCGATCCGTGGTCCCCCTCCTCCGCGCTCACCTCTCGGATCTAACCTGCTTCCTCAGGGATGACCGGGCACCCTCCGAACCCCCGGAGACATAGGGATCCTCCTGGATGGGGGAAAGTTTCAGCTGGGCAGCAAAGAAGAGGCAGGGGGGGGGCAGGCTTACAAAGTGGCAGAAGGGGGTGCTGGGCCTCTCCCAGCCCCCAAGCTGTGCCTGCTGGGCTTGGTGATGGGTTTGGTGTGCGGCACTCTGCGCCTGAGATTGGGTTGCTCTGGTGGTGAAGGTTCCCAGTTGGGCAGGCTGGCGGCAGAAGCGTGGCCCCCTCCGGGCAGGGTCCCTGGGGGAGGAGGAGGCGAGATCCTGTGCTGAAGGTGGCCCTTCCTTCCCCAGGACGTGCTGATGCAGCTTGCCAAGGCGGTGGCCAGCGCGGCGGCCGCTTTGGTGCTGAAAGCCAAGAACGTGGCCCAGAAGACGGAGGACTCTGTGCTGCAGACGCAGGTGATCGCCGCGGCCACCCAGTGTGCCCTCTCCACTTCCCAGCTGGTGGCCTGCACCAAGGTGAGTCCTCCTTGCTAGGGATTTGGGTGGTCAGCGGCACGGCCTCTGTTGGGACTCCTCTTGCCTCTTCCTTTCTGTGATGTTCCCGTGGGTCATCCATGAGGCCGTCCATTTTCCCCATATTAGTTAAGATTTAACTGTATATAGTTTTATTTTATTTTTTTATAGNATCTGCAGTTCGGCGGTTCTAATCTCACCGGCTCAAGGTTGACTCAGCCTTCCATCCTTCCGAGGTGGGTGAAATGAGGACCCGGTTTGTTTTGGGGGACGATATGCTGACTCTGTAAACCGCTTAGAGAGGGCTGAAAGCCCTATGAAGCGGTATATAAGTCTAACTGCTATTGCTAGCTTCTGTGGGAGCAAGAAGTGGCTGGTTCTGGGCTCCGGGAGCTTTTTTATCCCGGCATGGAAGGTAAAGGCCCAAGGGTGTGTGTGTGTGTGTGTTTCCCGCAGGCTTTGGATGGCGCTTTCACTCCGGAGAACCGCGAGCGCTGCCGCGATGCCACGGCCCCACTGATTGAAGCGGTGGAGAACCTGACGGCCTTCGCCTCTAATCCCGAGTTTGCCACCATCCCTGCCCAGATCAGCCCAGAGGTAGGGAGAGGTTGCTGGGGGCAGGGAAGGAGGAAGGGGTCCGCTCTGGGCAGCCTTTGGCCTGTTGTCCTGGAACGGCTCTCTGCTCTCTCTCCCTGTAGGGGCGCAGGGCCATGGAGCCCATCCTCTCCTCTGCCAAGACCATGTTGGAAAGCTCGGCTGGCCTCATCCAGACCGCCCGCTCTCTGGCAGTCAACCCGAAGGACCCTCCCAAGTGGTCGGTGCTGGCAGGCCATTCGCGCACCGTCTCCGATTCGATCAAGAAGCTGATCACCAACATGAGGTGGGGGCTCCCTCTTTGCCCAGCTCTCTTTCCCCCTTGGTGGGGGGGTGGGGGACAGAGGGATAGAGAGAGAGACCATTCACACAACTGGGGAGATTCAGGAATTGCCATCTTCAACTCCTTGCCAGATGTCTGGAAAAGCGACTCCCTCTGTCCTCCAAATCCTTGGCAGCACGTTGGCATCTCTGTGGCTAACGGAACTGGGGAGGGCAGAACTGAGGCAGCCATGGGACGGGGGAGGGAAGTAGGGAGGTGCCTAAGTGTGCACATCTGGTTGCCCTTGCTGTCTACAGGGACAAGGCTCCAGGCCAGCGGGAGTGCGACGAGGCCATTGAAACGCTGAACAGGTGTGTCCGTGACGTGGACCAGGCCTCCTTGGCAGCCATCAGCCAGCAGCTGGCGCCTCGCGAAGGCATCTCCCAGGAGGTGAGGAGGGGAGAGTCTCTTGACTGCCACGTCACCCAAGTTGGAGGGCCTGTGGATGCCAGAAGGGCCGTCGTCTCCAGCAGTGCAGAAAAGGAGGACGGGGGGGAGGGAGGGAGGCCCCTTCTGGAAGAGACTGCAGGCCCTTCAGGGTCAGAACTGGGTCCTGCTCCAGTTTCTGGGGAAGGGGAGTTGCCCCCCCCCTCTGTCCCCCACTGGTGCTCAGGCCTGACTCCTTCCGCAGGCCCTGCACAACCAGATGCTTGCAGCTGTTCAGGAGATCAGCAATCTCATCGACCCCGTGGCAGGCGCTGCTCGTGCGGAGGCCTCCCAGCTGGGCCACAAGGTGAGGCTGCCGGAAACCTCCACTGGCAGTGCCAAGCGAAAGGCGGGCGAGCCCCGGACTCTCAGCCTGCACTCCAGCACCTTCTTCATGATGCCGGGGG